ATAGAAAGCGTGTTTTTTAGTTTTTTAAAACTATAATTTTTTGCCTACTAACTTCAGTTTCTATTCAACAATTACACATAGTGTATACAAACCTTGATTGTTATCTTGTACAATTTCAGTTATGTACATGACTTACATAGAATTCAACCTGTATAAGGTTTGTTATCAGTGTTCTATTGCTTCAGCAGCGACCTTCGCGCAATGCCGTAGATAAAATATCCATAAATAACTTCAGGGTTGCCACACAGCTAATATCGGATACCAAAAGGTTTTTCCTAAGTTGGCAGAGTCTTAAAACAAAACTAGATCTTTATGAAAATAGAATTTCATTTAACTTAACTTAACTGGCCTGTTGGTCTTGTGGATAGTATTCCTGAATGCTTAACTAGAGGTCATAGATTCGAATCCCATCCACAACGAATGAGCACGATTGATTTGTATTTAGGTGTAATTTGTCAATGTATGTATTTAGAAAAATTTAAGGATGCTTTTCAGAGTTTGGTCACCATAACACAGGCACTGCTGATTTTGATATCAGACAGAAGCGTCTAAGATGTGTCACGTTATAGTAGTATTATATAATACTACTATCGGAAAAGACAAACGTTGTCCTGTAAACATGCACCATACAAATAAATAAAAATAGTGGAGCGCATTGTAAATCTAAATAATTCACGAATCCACTTTAACACATAAAAATTTAGGCGGAGTTCAGTCACGTACACACGCACAAAATTAAATATATTAAGATTAAATTATTAATGAATGTTTTATGTCTAATAAGTTTCTATGTGTTGGTTAACTTCTCTTACAAAATAGCTGTAGTGGTTTGGAAGTTATGTTTCTCGTGACTTCGTCTCTTCCTTATTTTTTCCTTATCACAAGTGTTACATAAGCAGAAAATTTATGGGAGTAACTACAATTCTAGCTAAAGCTTTATCTGTTTATAAAAGAAATTATATAACACACATATTAAAATTTGAGTAAAAAAAATGTTTGTATAGTTACATTGAATTCGACAACCCTAAAAAAGTTGAATATTTCGATGTGTGCGTGTTATATGTGTTGGCTATTTTTGGTTTAGATTCACACATTCAAACAGTCCGATCGACCATTAATACCGAGGCCTGACAGAAAATCGGTGTTAAGGCATACTTTCCTTGTTTTTTGCCGAGTGTGTGATGTCACCGGAGACTCAACACCCCCACTCCCATTATTCTGCGGGGGGAAGGGGAGCTGCCAGAGCAGTAAGCACTTTTCTTGCTTGACTTATAGATGCCCCGTGTGTTCGTTGCCACTCTATGCCATAAAAACGATGCTAAAAACATCTTTTTTTAGCTGTAAAATACACACATAATTATAACACCTTTCATATTTGGGGCTGGGGTTAAAAATGGTAATCATGCCGGCTGTCTCTATACATAAATATAATCTTTGATGTTGTGTTCTAAATAAATATATCAATAAAAACAGAAAAAAAATACAAACAACGTAAATAAAATATATATATGGACATATTTAAACAATATCTAACTCGATAGGTAAATTATTTTCATATCTGTGCAATGGTTTCATTTGTTAAAAAAAAAAAATTCACACATCTCACACACGGCCGTCTGATCCCAAATACGACAGCGCCTGTGCTATGGTAACCAGACTACTACTAACATTCTTATACATTTCTAAATACATAGAAATTAGGATAACTCACAACTAAACACAGAACAAATGATCGTGCTCATCACACATTCATTTGTTCTGGGTGAAATTCGAACCCACGTCCTCCGGCTTAGCAGTCAGGGCACTAACCACTAGAACAACAGGCTCGTCGACAATCATCGACATTTAAGGTTTTAATCATTCTATTCAATACTATTGTACAAAATAGTTTCCTAAATGAATTTACCTCATTCAACAATTACCGGGACGCGATTTACATGCGAATTGCAACACAAGGCTGCCGATTGTCCTACTGTGAATTTGAATTAACCGATTCCGTGTGGTGACGGATGAAGAATACAAATTGTCACCACCCCAATTCATCCCGTGGGTGTCGTAAGAGCCGACTAAGGGAGCAAACTAAGCAGAACAACAGCACTGCAAAGAGAAGGAAAACTTGAAACAAACCCTATACCAACCCGTTTGGCCAGCGTGGTATAGTAGGCCAAAACCTCCTTTCTAAGGAGAGGCCTGTGCCCAGCAGTGGACTAGTATAGGCTGTTGTTGTGATTCAAAAACTCGTACTGCAGTTTTCTGGTATAAACAAATGACACAGCCCGTATTATGATGACCAGACTATTAATGAATATATGTCTACAAATTTCTAACTACACACATGTGTACTAGATATCTTTGTTAACTTCTTGCACGAAGTAACATTGGCGTAGTGGTTTGTGTAACGGACTGCTATTCCAAAGGTCGGGGGTTCGATTCCCGCTCAAGTCAAACATTTGTGTGCATGAACATTTAATGTTTGATTTGGTCTGGGTGTTTCTATGTATAATAAGTATATATTTACAAAAAAAAAGTATATATGTATTTATATCAGTTGTCTAGTACCCATAGTACAAGTTCTGCTTAGTTTGGGACTAGACGGCGTTGTGTGAATGTGGTACAATATTATATTATTACTAGCTGAGACCCGCGGTGTTACCCACGTTTGTTGTTATAACCGCGGGCAACGCCGCGGGGCGAAGCTAGTCTAAAAAAAGTAGCCTAAGTTACTCCTTATGTCATCAGCTATCTGCCAGTGAAAGTCCCGTCGAATCGGTCCAGCGGTTCCAGAGATTACCCGGAACAAACAGACAGACAGACAGACAAAAATTGTAAAAAAATATATTTTGGCATATGTACCGTGTAAACATACATATGCATTTAGTAAAAAGCGGTTATTTTAATATTACAAACAGACACTCCAATTTTATTTATTTGTATAGATAAAACGACTAGTCAATGAATCAAAAAGAAAGCCGATCTCACATTGATAGTATTTTCTAAGTACAAACTACAAACTAAGGCTACAAACTTGAAATTTTGGCAGCTGTTGCTTTTTATGTTACAGGCACCCACTAAGAAGGTATTTTATTGGCTAATTGCACCTCTTAGAGTTAGAAGTACTGCTCATTATACTTCTGTATGATTAAAGTTTGTGATAGTTTAAAAAAAAGGTAATATTTTTCTTCCCGATTTCAAATACGAGAACTGAATAACGCTCATAGTTTAGATTTTATCTTAAAATCATCATTTGCTACAAACGAGAGTTATCGAACAATAGCTTTGAAACGGATGAATTAAGAAAATAAAAAAACTCTTGAATTTCCGTGTAAGTGATTGAAATCGAATATACCTTTTTCTGTTCAGTGATAAAGCTTATTGACACCCTTTGCCTTTACTTTTAATAAATCATACAACTTTTGCAAATCAAAATGGCGTCCGTACGTACTGTTGAAGGCTTTGCGTAATCAACTTTTAATTTTTCTCGATTGTTTTGATTGAACAATCGCATTGCTTACGAGCCAATTATTTAAATATCAAGGCTGTTTAACGCAGTAAGTATTAACAATAAAATAAACGTATATTTACAAGGTTAACAATGTCCTTAAACCATGATCCTTTTATATTTATTTAGCGTACATAAGAAGGACGTAAGGGCATTTTAGTTAAAAAGTTTATAAAGTTGTATGTATACTGAGGGTTTAGGCCAAACCCAGCCATTTGCATTCGATTTAGATTTTAACAGCCATAAAAAAAGGGAAAGAGTTCTCAATACCCTGCATCATTTTGATGTTACCAATAATCCGCCATTTATGAATCGATTAGGAAAATTCTTAATATATTGTTGGATTGTAAATAATGTAATACTGCCTATACTTATCGCAATATTACGTAATTTATGTTGCCAGCTCAAATAGCTTTTTATCTCAGAACTATATAAATAATACTATCTACTTATTAATACTTATAACTTGATATTCACGTGCCATTATCGCTACGTAAATAACTTTTATAAAAGCGTCACAGACTTCACTGCGCCTTCATGATGATTTGTAATGAACTGTATGCGTCTATCGATAAGTTCCGTGTGGTGACGGATTAAGAATACGGAGTATCACCACCCCTATTCATCCCGTGGGTGTCGTAAGAGCCGACTAAGGCAACTTACTGCGCAGGACAAGAGCACTACGAAGAGAAGGAAAACTTGAAACAAACCCTATACCAACTCGTTTGGCCAATGTGGTATAGTAGGCCAAAACCTCGTTTCTAAAGAGAGGCCTATGTCCAGCAGTGGATTATTAAAGGCTGTTGATGTGATGATGTGATGATGATGTAATATGTAATGATATCTAAACAATACAGGGAAATGAAATTAGGGATATGTTTATTTTAGGCTGTTGATGTGTTATGATTTGATGATTGTTGATGTGTTCTCATTCACTCGGCAAAAAGCAGCGAAAACTAGTTTCACGCTGGTTTTCTATGAGGTCGAGGTATCATTCAGGTTAAGCCGGCCCACCATGTCTCTCCCACATATAGATATAATGAAAGAGTTGGAGTAATGGATACCAAAAATCTCGGATTAAAAAAGGTACTAAGACTTGGGTACTATGGTTAGAGAAGCCAATAGGACGGGTCATCAACTTGCTATTAGTTTCATCATCATCATCGTCAACAGCCTTTAATAATCTACTGCTGGACATAGGCCTCTCCTTAGGAAGAAGGTTTTGGCCGCTAGCGAGACGGGGTTTGCTTCAAGTTTTCCTTCTCTGTGCAGTACTGTGGTCCTGTGTAGTTTGCTCCCTAATTCGGCTCTTGCGACACCTACGCAATGAATTCTTAATCCGTCACCACACAGACAGCTATTAGTTTAAAAAAACAAAAATTATCACATTTATTTGTTACGTAAACTCATACCAAACGACTTATATAACAATGTCTAACAGAATATGAAAATTTCATAACAAAAAATTAAAATCTAGTGATGTTACAAAATCAGTGATCGAATGTTGGATATAGTCAGTTATGCACCAATAATGTGGGAATATTTCGCAGTACTGCTCATCGGGTTTTGGCTCGGTGTTGCCATCTTCTTATATGTTTCTTGCTACTGGTTGGAGGAGATCTTAGGTAAGTTCATTTTATTGAAATTTACACACGTTACCGAAGCCAAATGGAGGTTTAAAACAGTTTTAAATGTTGTCTATGATACTTTTAAATGCGCTGACGGTTCGACCTGGTTGGTGCCGTTTTCATCACAGATTGACTGAGTCAATCAGGCACTTCAAACACATCTAAGACCTGTTACATTTTTGCGTTGATTCCCGTACAATTCCCGTTGTCATATCATTAATAGTCATAACAAATAAATAATATTTTATTTTAATACAAATTCTGTACAAATAAATTTGTGTTATATCTAAATTATTTGTAACTTTATTCTTTTTTTATACACTTTCCGATTATTTTTTTATTTTATACTGTGTAAAGATTTTCATACAGATTATTTAAAACGGACAGATATTTACTTAAACTTTACAAAAAATATGTTACAGACGCAGGCATAAGAACTAGCAAATTTACACAAACACAAATTTTTTTTTAACCCGAATTTGTTATTATTAATAATGATATTCAAAATAATGTTTTTTTTTTTAGTTACATATTTTTATGCAATTTCACATTATGTACATGTTATTTTTTTATGTATCTATTAATTTCTTCTAAATATTTTTCAGTGAACATTTGGCAAGTGGTATTTGGCTAAATTATTATGTATTTATTGCTGCCTTATGAGTAAAAATCATCATACAATTTTGCATATACGGTTACAAGGGATGTAGAGAAGGACATGGGTGGGTAGCCTTCATCCAGGTAAGGGACTTTTCCCTTACCTGGATGAAGGGTTCCCCAGCTGCCGGTACCCGAGACGGTGTGCGGTTCTTAGTCGGTTCGAGTCAGACATAACCACCGGTGGGTATCCGAGGGGATATCCGCACAGAAAATAAACGGTACTTAATAGTAGTTTCCAGAATTTTCTAACGAATTTCAGCAATTAAACTGAGGGCTCACGTTGACGCCCTATGAATGTTGCCCCTCTCCCAAAATTATAATGATTTTAATACGATAATAATAATAATAAGGACATCTAACACATCACACACACACACATCACAACCATCTAGTTTCAAACTATAGAATACTTATATAGTTTCTTTCGTAAATAAATACATATTAGGCATAGAAAACACCCAAACGATGCTTTAGTTACACGCGCACAAACTTATAAGAAATATTGCAGAATCGCTTTCATAGTTTTAACTGACTGCACGGTTGGCGTAGAGTTATGGGTTCCATCCCCACATGTAACAACACTCGTGTTCTTGGTTCCGTCTCATGATTTTAAAACACCCGCGAAACAGGAGTTCTCTTTAAAAAAAATGAAAAAGAAAGAAACTCGTCGTAGATATTGGTCAAACCTTAAAGAAATCCTTGTAAGGTGACATTTAAAACTTAAAGCAAAGTTTAAACATAATATATATTTTCGACATGTTCTGTATCCTGACAGAATCACAAAAAGTATGAGGAAAAACTATCTATATTTGTTTTACCGAAACAGGAATGACGCACGTCGGTTTTTACCGTGTTCGAAGTACAGATAAAAACCTCAATCATTTATAAGATAGCTACCTACCTGTATATTCATAGACACATTGCTCATTCATAGCCCTTTTTAAATAATCCAAAAAATAAGTATGATGTATAAAGTTTGACTGCACGGATGGTGTAGTGGTTTAAGTGGTCGCCACGCCGCTTACTACTACGCTGAGTGTTGCGGGTTCGATCCCCAAATGGGACAACACTTTGTGTGATCCACAAATTGTTGTTTGAATCTGGATGTTCTCTGTGTCCATTTCATTTATGTTTGTAAAGTCCCCCCCACAGCGCCACAGGATATATTCCTAATGCGGCAGTTGTTTTTTTAAAAAGAAGGAAAAAAAAACATTCATCATCTGTTTTTTTGGTACGTAACGTGAAAAAATATTGACAGGAGTACAAAAAAGGACTAGTCTGTCTTTTTATAAAATAACTAGCTTTTGCCCGCGGCTTATGTGCTTCCTTAAGTATCAAACTATCTCCATAGAAATTTTTATCTAAATGGGTTCAGCGGTTATTGATACAAACTTCCACCCCCCTTTTGACCCCAATTTAAGCGACCTTCACGAATCTACCCCTTACAAAACCCCTGAAGACTAAGTGTAACAGATGATGTCATTTACGGAGCAGACGCAGTGGCAAGAAACAGAGTAATGATAATTAATCTATCAGCATTTAAAAGACACGTTACTTTCGCTTCTGATGTTCCTTCACCTCCGTCTCTACATAAATGATAGATTTATAGGCTTCAAGGAAAACTCGGTTATAAGCTACATACATAAACACTTTGTATTTTTAGTCAATTAAATTAATATAAAACCTCTTTGCCTAACTTTTTAAGACAGTAAAATGAGTATTCCTGCACATATGATATCGGATAGATATTAAATACTCGAACTTTTGAAGACCTTAAAATCCTTTAACAAGTACTTACATATAGGTCTTTTACAAATGTACATATATATATACATGTACGTGTAAATAAGCACGTTTTCTCAGACCTTGAGGGCAGCAGGTTTTGGGCAATCAACATTTACCCAAGTACTGATAGTTAACTTCATGTTTTTCGTCGTATTTGTAATAAATATAAATCTACACTTATTTGACGGGCCTGTTGGTCTAGTGGTTAGTGACCCTGACTGCTAAACCGGAGGTCGTGGGTTCGATTCCCACCCAGGACAAGTATTGTGTGATGAGCACGGTCATTTGTTCTGTGTCTGTGGGTGTAATTTATCTATAATATGTATCTATTTAAAAATATATAAGTATGTTTATCAGGAGTCTGGTTACTAGGCAGAGCCAGTACTATGGCTCTGCCTAGTTTGGGATCAGACGGCCGTGTGTCAGGTGTGTGAGATATATTTTATTATTATTATTATATTATAAATGTAAAAGTTAATTTGTTTGTTACGCTTTCACGCTTAAACCACTAATCTGATTTAAAAAAATATTTTACCAATGGAAAGCTACATTATCAACGAATAACATAACCTATGTTAACTTTATACCGCGATAACTGACAAACAAAACCTAGTAGTTAATATTCAAACTGGTTAAAGTTTTGAAACGGAATGACAAATGTAGAAAAAAAAAAACAAATACGTTTAAAAAGCGAACAGAACTGAGAGTGGGTTTGGACGTGTCAAAACGAATTTGAGTCGAAATATACGGCATTTATTAAACCATTGAAGAGTTCTAATATCCAACATCTGCGGATCATCAGATCAGATCCAAAATGCTAAGTTATAGTACTGCCATCTTTCCACTTAAGCAAGGCCGGCAACGTACTTATGACTCCTGAGTTGCAAAGATTCAAACGATTCCATCCGATCCAAAGATTCAAACGTATGAACGTACAAAGTACATACATCTATATATATAAAAGAAGAAACTGACAGATTGACTCCCTGACTGATTGATCAAGCTGAACCCGCTGCGTCCACAAGCATGAAACTTTGCACAAATGTTCCTTAGGTGACGTGGGTGTGCACTAAGACAGGATTTTAAAATAGAAGTATCAAATTTTGCACAAATGTTCCTTAGGTGACGTGGGTGTGCACTAAGACAGGATTTTAAAATAGAAGTATCAAATTTTGCACAAATGTTCCTTAGGTGACGTGGGTGTGCACTAAGACAGGATTTTAAAATAGAAGTATCAAATTTTGCACAAATGTTCCTTAGGTGACGTGGGTGTGCACTAAGACAGGATTTTAAAATAGAAGTATCAAATTTTGCACAAATGTTCCTTTGGTGACGTGGGTGTGCACTAACACAGGATTTTAAAATAGAAGTATCAAATTTTGCACAAATGTTCCTTAGGTGACGTGGGTGTGCACTAAGACAGGATTTTAAAATAGAAGTATCAAATTTTGCACAAATGTTCCTTAGGTGACGTGGGTGTGCACTAAGACAGGATTTTAAAATAGAAGTATCAAATTTTGCACAAATGTTCCTTAGGTGACGTGGGTGTGCACTAAGACAGGATTTTAAAATAGAAGTATCAAATTTTGCACAAATGTTCCTTAGGTGACGTGGGTGTGCACTAAGACAGGATTTTAAAATAGAAGTATCAAATTTTGCACAAATGTTCCTTAGGTGACGTGGGTGTGCACTAAGACAGGATTTTAAAATAGAAGTATCAAATTTTGCACAAATGTTCCTTAGGTGACGTGGGTGTGCACTAAGACAGGATTTTAAAATAGAAGTATCAAATTTTGCACAAATGTTCCTTAGGTGACGTGGGTGTGCACTAAGACAGGATTTAAAAATAGAAGTATCAAATTTTGCACAAATGTTCCTTTGGTGACGTGGGTGTGCACTAACACAGGATTTTAAAATAGAAGTATCAAATTTTGCACAAAAGTTTCTTTAGGTGACGTGGGTGTGCACTAAAACAAGGTTTTTAAAATTTCTCCCCTAAGGGTGCAAAATTGGGGTTGGAAATTCATACTATTATATATTTAACTTCTTTATTTTTGGTAGTACCGCTTTCATCACATACATGCCACATTTCATGAAGATTGATTCAGTGGTTAAGGCGTGACGGCGTAAGAAACAAACAAACGTTTTAATTAATATTATTAGTTTAAATTCTAATGTATTGCCAATTAACTGAACCGGTAGTGATGTTGGTATCTTATTTTCTTAGCCAAATATCACGATGTTGTATATTATAATTGATGAATTAACCCACACAGGAAGTTATAATTATAAATTATAATTAATAATACCAATTAAAAGTTTATATACTGAACGTATTTACTACCCAACTTTTATGTATATGGTCAAATACGTGGTAGTCGACCTTAAAGGACAACCAGATGCTTGAAGACAGTGATTTTCGAACGTATTCGTTTATATATTTATAACTACCTGTGTGTGTGTGTGTGTGTGTGTGTGTGTGTGTGTGTGTGTGTGTGTATGTCGGCAATAGCGGTAAAAAGTAGCCTATGACCTTTCTCAAAAATCAAACT